GAATTTTTAACAGAGTTAGTTGGGTGGTAGGGTTCTCCATAAAATGACTTGCCTCTCCCAGGAAATAGGGAAGGAAGACATAGAGACTGGAGGGAAGACTTCCCAGCTCCCATTGCCTACACTGTTAGGAACTTCCCTCTCAAAGCAAGCTGGTGTGAACCTTTTGCAGGGTGTATGTGTGATATGTGTCCTCTTTGACCCAATTCCTCATCTAGGAATTTGTATTAGCTAGGGGTGCAAAGACGGAAGTGTTGGGATGCGCATTAGTGACAAATTGGAGAACTGGAGACAATGTCAAGTCAAGGTTAGACATTATTCACTCTCTGTTATATAGATCATACTACATCCACACCAAAGAATAATGAACTGCCATTCAAGTGGTGACATAGACCCATATTCCTTCCTGGAAAGGTAATGAGAGTTGATAGTTAATGAGTGTTGAGTGTGTACCAGGCGCTTCACATATGGGTCTGATTTCATGCTCATAACCATTTCTTAAGCTAGGTATTATAATCCTCATTTTACAGGTGAGAAAAATGGCTGGAGGTTGAGTAGGCCCAAGGTCACAGAATTAGTAAGCAGTCAATCAAGATTTAAGCTTTAGAGCCAAATATCTAAACCGCTTTGTGAAAATGTCCACAGTCCCTTTCCGAATGAAACAAATCAGCAAAGGAAGTAAAAGGGCTCTGTCTACATGAATAGATACATATCCAGAGGACACAGGAGAGCTGGGGAAATCATGCCACGGTTCGGATTCACAGGCTTCCATGTAAAAGAGTCAAATTGAAATCCCACCTCCCCACTTACTAGTTCTACAACCTGGGGCACGTAACTTGGTGTCTCTGACACTTAGATTTTCATAACTACAAAAGAAAGATAATGTTGCCTCATACGTTCGTTGTCAGGCTGAGTCATAAATGAGCTGTTGCACATGCAGAGAAACATCTAGAAGGATGTTCACCTACTTCTTGACAGTGGTCATATCACCAGGGAGCAAAGTTCTGGGGTGATTTTCACCTTTTCTCCCTTTCTGTATTTCTTTAAGATTGCTTCAAAGTGTTTATATCATTTTACAAACAGAAAATGCAGTAAAGCTCCTTTGATTTTAAAAAAGCAATAGTCAGAGGAAAGAAGGATGAGGACGAGGAGAGAATGGGAGAGAAGATGATGTCGGAGAAGGTGATGCGCCATCACCTTGACCAGAGCTGATTTCCACTGGCAGGACCTGGGGCTGAATGAGAGTGTTCTGCCATTCGGGGGAGTGGGGTGTGCCCCTTCCTCAGCTGGGAGAACATTCTGCGGGAGTCAGGCCCGTCTCACCCTGAAGCAGGGCTTTGCCGGGGCAGCGCTCCCATTGCCAGGCCTGGCCCATCTTCATGCCCTTTGCCAGATCCCTGCCTTCTCTGGGAGCTCCCGGGAGGGAAGGAGTCTGAAAAGATGATCCTTGCAGAGGTGTAAGTGACTCATCAAATGATGGGACTCCTTGCTAAGTTTTTATGTTAAAATAAAAACATTCGGTGGAACTCTTGGCCCTCTGGAGGGAGACTAAATTTGTCTAACCACTTAAAGTTAATTTAGATTTGTGTACCCAAACTGTTAGAATTAGACCTGCATTTGACCTAGTAACTCTACCTTCGAGAATGTATTCCAAAGAAATAATCGTAACTATACAAAATGCTTAGCTATGTGAATACTCATTATTGTAGCTCTTTGTACTTGTGAAAATTAAGTTATTGTTGGAAAATTAAGTTATTGTCGAACTGCTTACATGCCCAACAATAGAGGATCAGCTGCATAAATGACATCAGTTCCATTTAACACAAGACAGGATTCCTTCTAAAAACGTTATTGGGGGCCTACATTTACGGTCATGGTAAAATGTTCACAATACAATATCAGGTAAAAAAAAGCAAGTCCCAAGATAAAATAATCCCAATGTAAAAAAAAAAAAAACCAAACCCAAATGTATATTTATATTAAGACTTTTGAAAAGGGGCAAAATGTTAATATTTGTTCCTGGAGGGATATGTGAATTTTTCTTCTCTTTCTATATTGAATATGTCGCTTTTGAAATAAGAAATATATGATGTTATTACAATTGTATTTTTAAGGCATAGCAACCCAAAGTAGACCCTTCCTACACTGCACCATCCTATGCTGATAACTTCCCACGGACAGGCGCCGCGGCTCTCTCATTGCACCTCTGTGATTCCACTTTCGCATTAGGCCTGACATGTGGATATTCTTCATAAATATTTGTCGAGCAAATGAATGAATAAATAAAAGAACAAACGGAGGGACAGAATGGTGGCGACAGAGGGCCTGAGATGGAGGAGAAACCGGGTACACACCCACTTGACCTCCCCGCAGTGCCTTGTGGGTAGTGGGGGAGCTCAGCCAGCGCTACATCAGCTGTAAATGAGGCTTCACCCTCTGCCCACTGGGATCCTTCCGCAGCCCCTTCCGCAGCAGGCAGATGGTACCCTGACGGCAGGGCGTGTGCCAGAACTGTGATAACAATGGCCACTGCAGTAGGAAGCTCAGTGAGCTGGGCTTAGGTTTGACATACAGGAAAAGAAATAAAATGAAGCAAGAATGGCTTTTTAACAAATTAAATGTTGATATCTTTCTCACGTTCAGAAATGTAGAGGCAAGCAGCCCAGAGTCGGAAGGCAGCCTGCTTGGCGTGAGGGACCCAGGTTTCCTCTATCTCTTTGCTTTGCCACAAGCGGCTTCCGTTCCCAAGGCCACTTTGTGCTCCAGGACGCTTCCTGGGGTTGCAGTCATTTGGTGGGCATTCCAGCCCACACACAGGGAGCAGTAAGAGGAAAGAAAGGCATGGCCCCTCTCCACGCGTTGCCCATAGGACCTCCACTGAGTCCCCTTGGCCAGAATTTTGTTAAGGGAGCCTGACAAATACAGTTTCTATTTTGGGGTGCCCTGTTCTCAGCTAATGATAGGGGTCTTGTCTCTGTGGAACAAGGGAGGAAATGACACCAGGAAACAACTGGAGACTTCTGCCACTCAGATGTCTTCCTGGTCCTATCAGTAGCCGACCAGAGCCTCACTGGATGTGCAGCATCTGCTCTGACGACACAGGGAAAGTCGCCACAACAGTGGCTTACAGGGAACCAGGGGCCCACCTGCTGCCTGTAAACACCGCCCGAGGGAGGACAGACTTCTTCAGTTGCCTCTCAGTGGGCATTCCCACTTCCAGCACAGTCTCTGCTAGTGTCCACTCTTTCATTGACCAGGGGTGACCTGGGTCACTACTCTCTGCCCTCCAGCCCTGGACCGCAAACCGAGAGTCAGCATCTTCACTGCCGCAGTGACTGCTTAGAGCCTGCAGATCCTTGCCCCCCAGCAGCCTTCAGGCCGTCAGAGGAGTCAGGAAGTGCCCAGGAGGATTCTAATTATATCAGTGAGGGGACAGTGTCAGAGTATGAGTATTTGAGTCACCCGTATGAACCCATGGGATGCTGTTCTTTCTGATGTCACCACGGGACTGGCAGGCCATGGATTTAGGGGAAGAAGAGCAATGATTGGACACTTTAGAGTGAAGGGAAAGCACTGGTCCTGTGTGTGTGTAGATGATAAGAAGCAAATAATAAGCCTATCAGCACTCCCTCCTACTTGGGTGCTGTGCCAGCGCATGGTTGCCAGCATCCAAAGCAGTTCTCAACGATCCTTGCTTCCTGGTACTCACGTCCCTGTTGAGTCCCCTCCCACCTTGAGTTAGGGCTGACCTGTGTGACCAATAGAATATAGCGGAAGTGGTGGCTCGTGACTTCTGAGGCTAAGTCATAAAAGGCATTGCAACTTCTGCCCTGGTCTCTTGGTTTGATTGCTATGGAGGGAGCCAGTCACCGTTCTGAGGACACTCCAGCAGACTTACAGGGAGAGGCCCAGGTGGAGGGGAACCTAGCCCTTCTCCAACTTATCATCCAGGTAGTGAGCAACCTTAGAAGTGGCTTCTTCAGCCCCAGACTAGCCTTCAGATAACTGTAGCCCCAGCTGACCTCTGACTGAATATATGAGAAATCCCAAGTCAGAACCACCCAGCTAAGCTACCTCTAAATTCCCAATCCTCACACACCGAGACAGCAAATGCCTCTTTTGCTTTAAGCCACTATGTTTTGGGGGAAACTGTTATCCAGCAACAGACAACTAATACAGCCTTTGCATATAATTTGTTCATCACAACAGCACTCTGAAATACGTATTATTATCCCATTTTACCAATAAGGAGCCCAAGGCTTAGCAAGGTTAATTCATGTTCCCAGGGTCAGAGCAGCTGGTAGAAGCAAAGCTGGGACTCCAGTATAGCTTTTCACATACAAACCTGTGCATTGAATACCTGCTTGCTCTGCTGCATGCGTGTGGGCCCACCTGCAATTTCCAGAATGCCTGAATGCAGAATAAAGCCAAATGTGCCTAACTGAACTGAGTGGTCTAGTTACAGTGAGGCTTAGCTGCTGGCATCTGGGATTAGATGCGGATCTGTGCTTGAAACTCCACAGCCAGTTTAAACCTGAAGCACATGAAATGTTGTGAAAATCAGACCGTTTACACCAAGATTGCCTGTCCAGGGAGCCCCATTTAGGTCCTTGGGAGCAGAAAGCATCTCAAACTCACAGCAGAAGTTTGAACAGCCCCAGAACAACTACCTTTATTGGGGCCTTACCACCCGATGTAGTTTGGGGGCTGCTGACATAGAAGGTTGTCTGGATACCAAGAACAAGGATGTGGTCTATGGCAAGGATGTAGAGTGGAATGATCATTTGCCCTTCACTTGTTTCTGTGATGGGTGAGTTTCCATTTAAAAACTTGGCTGTCTGCCCGCCCATGTGCTGATGGGGCCAAATTTGGTCAGTACCCACTTGTCAGCAAAAGAACATTAGCATTCTTCTGATGTCACAGCAAACAATGAGCTTCTGAGCTCTTGTCTGCAACTAACTCATTTGCGTCTGCTTCATTCTGGCCGGAGCCCTCACAGAGAGAGGAGCAGCCCTGTGATGCCTGGCAGAAGCTTTTTAGTCCTGTTGCCCTTGTTAGCTAAGAACCCCAGGGACGTGGGTGGAAGAGAGGCTTCCCCAGGTTTCCCTGATGCACCCCAGATGAGGATCTGTTCTGGCACCTGCATAGGCAGCTGTGCAAATGTGCAGAAGGTAGGTCCCTTTCTGAAGAATGAAATTTCATGTCTAAAAGAGAACTCATCAGGAGTGGTAACATAGAAATGAAGATCTCAAGAAGGGTTAGCAACAGGGGAGTGGGAGGAGGAGATGGGGGGAGAAGGTACAGAAAATAAGTAGCATAGACAGTAGATAGAAAATAGATGGGGGGGGCAAGAATAGCATGGGAAATATAGAATCTAAAGGACTTGAGACACATGGTCATAAACTAAAGGGGGGCAATGGTGGGGCTGGGGGTAGGGTGGAGGGGAATGAAGGGGGGAATAGAACAACTGTAACAGCATAATCAATTAAAAAAATTAAAAAATGAATTTGAAAAAAAAATAAAAAGAGAACTCATGATCTTGCAGATCTCTCGAGCTTTCCATTCTAGGGCCCCTGCCACTATGCCCCTGGGGCTCAAAGCTTTAGAATCAACATCTACGGGTTCCTCCAGCCAGCCTGTCAGATTGAGCCAGTCAGCCAGGCTTGTCAACATGCCTTCCACACTCCCGAGGACTATTTCCTCTCCATTTCTGTTGGGCCGTTGGCGCATCGAGAGATGGATGCCTGCACCCACATCTCTTCCCCTTTAATAGCTCTAAACTGCCTACTGACATGGCTCCAAATTTGTTCACCTACCTTTCAAGACCCTGCATACTTTGCTCCTACCTCGTTTATTTCTCATAGTTCCCATTGCTAATCCTTCTACCCACAGGCATGCACAGGTGCACACGTGTGTGTGCATGCACACGGGCACCTACCCACACTCCCTATGTGTGTCTGCCAAGCCCCACACCACCACCCACCATTTACTGGGGCTGCCTCCTTTGCAGTTTTCGATGGTCCTTGTAATGCTTTCTTTGTCTGTTTCAACCCATCCTTTTCACCAAGGAAAACTTGTCCCCTGCATCGGACGGTAGTTTTTGGCCATCTCTACTGTCATGCTCTGCACCAGCTGCTATTTTCCAAGACAGCTCACACCTCTGCATCAGCCCCATTTTCCAGATCCCTCAGGCTTCTAGAATCCCTCTGTATTGAAAGGTCTTCAAAAAACGAAACAGAATGGGTTGGAGGGGAAGCACTGCTCCCGAGGGCCCAGTTCACAAACACTGCTGCTGGAGCCACTGCCCCGGGGACCACACCGTGTGGAGATTTTTTGTTTGCTGGGCAGAAGAAAAACGCCGGCTAATTGGCTATGACCACAAAGGTCAAGCACACGAATGGTAAAACAGGCAAAACAACAGAGGACAGGGAGACAGAAAAGCTATGGCGGAAAGCGGTGCTAGACGTGACTGAAGTGCTGAGAGGGCAGGTAGGAGCTGCAGGCACTCCACGACGGAGAAGCAGGTGAATGCTGGAGGGACAGAGGAGACCAGCTCTGTGGTCTGTGGGGTGGCAGCAGTTTCTCTCTCTCTCCCTCTCTCCATTACTCCCCCACTGCACTCTCTCTCAAGGCAACCTTCCTTAGAAACTGGGAAGACTCTGGGGAAGCAGCCTCTTCCTGGCCTGCCCTGAGGGCCTGGGTCTGCAGCTGCCAGGGGACATCAGCCAAGTGGAGCACATGGGCAGCATATGTGACCTGACCATTTCTGCACTTTTCCGCCAGAAGCTGCATCTCAAGTGCCTACAGGGACCCAGCAGGTAATATAAATGTGCAAAGTAGGGCAGGTGTGAGGCACAGAGAGGGGCAGGCACCATGACAGATTGAAGAGAGCATATCCCATTGAAAGGCATCCAATGTACATCTTTCTTAGGATACCATGTCAGGTAAATAAGACATGTACTGGGGCCAGATACAGCCCGCAGGCACCCTGCCTATAACCTCTGGGCTCCGCAGGCATATGTGCAACCCGTCAGGAGGGCCGGTGATGGGAATGATGACCCTGTGTTGCCAACTTGTTGGTTAAGCCCTTTCAGACTGCCAGGACCAATGTGATCCGGTGCGGCGATGGTGGGCATTCTGGGGAGGTGAGCTGGGCAGCTCCCCACCATGGAGCATGGTCAGTGACCAGTAATGACTCACAGCAGCTCCTGCGGCTCCGCAGAACTCTAGGAGGTCAGCGGGGGAGGGGACTAGCCATCTTACTGTTCCCTTAATAGCAGCCTTGGTGGCTTCCTGCCTTAAAGGCTGTGCCACAGTTACGATTCTCCTCTCACCACCCTGTCACTCTTTTCTTCTCTCTACCTCTTGGCTTCTGCTTATTCCTGACTTACACTGATTCATAGCAGCTGCTGGTTCTTGACTTGTCTCACCCAGTGGCTTCTGCCTTCTGGTATCGTTTCACTTCTGCCTCACAGGCGGGCCAGGGAACATCTACATGGTCCTTTGCTGGCGGAGTAGTCTGGCCAAGCCACCCCCTCAGCTACTCACTGACCTGCGGGCGGGTGCTTCGGGTGAAGTTCCAAGTGTCAAAGTCAGCTTAGCTTTGGCCTGACAATCACAGTCACCCAGCACAAAGCATGGGACTCACTTGGAAAGAACCAGCAGTGCTTTTTCTCAGAAGGGGCTATGTGCATAGCAAATGGTTGGAGTGTCATGTCTACGCCATCAAGGTGTTTCCAATCATATGCAGGGCGCTCTCTTAATGAAGGCAGGGAAAAATCCAATGAAATAGGCATAGGAATCAAAGGCTTAACTGCCAGGTATAAGAAAAGTGGGGCTAAACTTACATTCTTTCTGTATCCGTTAAGGTTGCATTTGTTGGCAGGTAACAGAATACCCAATTGGGAGTAGCTTAAATGAATTTGGACTTTTCTCCCAGAAGAAGCAAAGAGGTGGATGGTTTTGGTATTTGTTCAGCAGCTCTGTGATATTAGGGCAGCCTCTTTGACATTCCTTTGGCTTATGCCTGCTGGTTACAAGGTTGCCACTGCAGATCCAACATTGCCATCTATGTTCAAGGAAGAAAGAATGGGAGAATGTGCTTGAGAGCTGAGATTTTCCCCTTTTATCTGGAGAGCATAAGCTTTGTAAGAACCCACCCACATCCACTAGTAGACAACCCCCTTAACATCTCTTTGGTCAGGACAGTGCCACCCTAGCTGGGAAAGGAAATAAAATACCCAGCACTCCAACTTCATTAATAGCATCTTCTTATGCATAGAGATTTTCTCATGTTGTGTGCGCACCTACATATTTCTGGCCCAATATACCATACAGCATTGGGTGCATTAGGTTAGGAAATGTGAGCCCAGAAAAAGAGCCCAGAAAAAAAAGTGTAGGTTTAAATATTAACTCTATCATTTACTGACTCTGCAAGGTAAAAGCAATCAGCCTTGCTGAATGTCCTTCTCCTGCCAGGCAAAAAGGGATGCTAAGTATCTCCCTGCAGGGCTGTTGTAAGGATTAAATGTGACAATGCATTTATAGCTCCTGGCTCTGTAGAGATACCCGCAAGTGGTTACTGTTGTATTGTGTTGTGCTGTCTTCTGTTTGATGGGTACCTGGTAGGGGAACACACAGTAGTAGACAGTACAGCCTGAAGGTCAAAAGCACAGGCCTCTACCAGTTATTAGCTGTGTGACCTTGGAGAAGTTACTCAGCCTCTTTGAGCTTCAGCCCTCCTCTCTGTAACCTGGAGACAATAATAGAACATATGTTGGAGGGGCGCATTGGAAGGAAAGAGGTAGTGCTCATGGCACCCTGGGCACTCTGCTAGGCACAAAGTGCACGAAGCTGAGAGTTGGCTGTTACTAATACCAATTGCTTTGCTCCTCCCTTGGCCCAGAACTAAAAAGCCTGTTGAACCAGAAGAGCAAGTGCCTTACTGTTGAAACTTTAAAACCAAGTAGTCTCCAATCCTTTAAAATTCACAATTGTTATAAGCAGAAGCAGCCTCACATAAAAGTAAAGCATTGGGGTGGGGTGGTCTGCCTGGATTTAAGCAATAACAGACAACATTGTAGGAAAAAATGTTTACTACTTTTTAAAGACCAAGTAAAATTTTAAAAAGTATCTGCTTTCTACGATCACCTTGGGCCCACATTTCTAAACAATGTAAGTGATAAAACAGCCTCCCCTTCCCATGTTGTTTGCCGTGCAGAGAGGATTGCTGCAGGCCACGTGAGCTTCGGGTGAGCACCTTTTGACACCCTGTCCCACCATGGACACCGTGCTGTCCCGGAGAGCTCCTGTCCGTCTGCAGTCAGCCTCCAACACCCACGGGCGCAGGTCCTAAGGGTTTGGAGCTTCCCTCAGTTGGTCCCCAAGCCCTGCAGCCCCTCACACTTCTGCCTGTAAACAAGAGACCCAGAGTCCACAAAGAGAACTCAGGACCCATGAAGACAGAGAAACAAACTTGAGTCGCTTCAATTACCTGTGACTTCTGGGACTCCTTAGTGGGACTCAAAGTTTAAGCAGTTAACTTTGGGTTATACCGCTTCGGGAGATATCTTTGTTTTGCAGGCAGAAATTTTACATACATGATATATTTTACCATAGTGGTGATCTTTTAAATTGCAGTCATGCTTTTAAAATTATTTGTTTTTTAGAATTAACAAATCAAGGCGATTGTGCTAATTTCTGATCACTACGTGATTCCTGCTAAAAAATAATTTCGTTATACAGAGAAGGATGTTAAAAATGGTTTGTTCTGATTAGATATTTTGAAGCCCTGGTGCTGTTGTTAGCAAAGGTGGGAGAAGGCAGGGCAACGTGAGCAAACAGCCGTGTTTCATCAGTCCCGAAATGTGCATTTTGACTCACATTTAAGCTATCTCAATCACTGTGATGATACACTGGAAGTATTACCACTGGCTGGCAGAAGTCACAATGTACCACCGTCCCCAGAGCCTGTGCATCAAAGCCAGCAGCAGCTTGGAAGAAATCTTGGGGCCAATGGCGGAACATCTCTTTAAGAAATGCTGCAAGAGGATCGTGCCCTGGGCCAGGTGGAAGGGCAGGACACCGTGAGGCAAGTGGTGGCCTAGGAATGTCAGACTTTGAATAGATTTGGGGAACATCTGAAGGGGTTCATTTTGCTTGTTTATTTTTTGATGCATGAATGTAAGAGACTGATAGAAGAAACATGTATAAGGATAAGGATGCTCCTTCAGAAAAATACAAAATTTTTAAAATCTTAAAAAAAAGGACTTGCTCCCTAGCACACACGTTTACTAGACCATAGAGAGAAGATGGCCCAAGCCCCTCTCTTTGCAGCTGTCCAAAGGCAAGTTGTCCGAGGCCATCCTGACTCCTGCTCCCTCTTCGAGAGCTCCCGGGCCCTGCGGGAGGCCCTCCTGGGCCAGCCCTGCCTGCACACTGGCGGGGTTTGGCTGGTTTGGGGTGTCAGTGCACAGACCCCGCAGACCCCTTTGGCCCAACCATGAGCCATGTCCTCTTACTTCCCCCGCATCAGTAACAAACGATGATACATTTTCACCACCATCAGCTGGATACCCTTTGATTTATTTCTCAATAAGTTTGGAATTTGGTCAAGGAAGAGGGGTTCTATCTCTTGGCATTCTCAGGGATCCCAAGAGTTAAACATTGCATATCAAAAGACACACCACAACTCCTTGCTGCGTGAGACCTAGGGTTAAGCAGACTGATAGTGGTTAAATCAATTAACAGTCTCATGGGGCCGGGTAGGGGGGAACAGGGAAAACTACAGAGAAGGGGAAACATTTTATTTGGGCTTCAGAGGATAAGAAGAAATCTGTCAACAGGGCAAGATAGAAATAGGCACAGTGGGGACTGGGCCTGGTCTCTGATGATGTGCTAAGCCCCCATCTTTCCCTGACCTGTTTTGCTCATCTGTGGAAGGAGGACAAGAGAGCTGCCCTTGCCTCCCTCCCGGGGTCCCTGGAAATGTCATGTGACCCAGCGGAGGCTGCGATGTTTGACAACTACACAGGTTCATTATCTAGGACTCAGCCCCCAGCACAAACAGCAGCTGTCAGCAAAGAGGTGAGAACAGGTTTTTTTTGCAAGTTGATGAATTCTTTTAATCTCCTATAAACTGTCCTCTTCTGGAAATGGTTTTCATTAATGTCCAAGGCCCACAGTTGCAACACCAGGCCTCTCGTCTCTTACCAGAAACGCTGATAAAACCCAGGCTGGCTTGCCTTGATGGGCAAGTTAAACATTCTATTTTCAGAGAGAACAACAGAAAAGCAGACAGTGTTGTCAGTTTGACATTCCCGGGCTAGAGTACTTTCAGGCTGCTGCTGTCTATGTGCAAACAATGCATTTAGAAACCAAATGGGTGTCTGATGAATTTCTTTCTTCTCCCCAATTTGCATAGAGAAGAGGCCAGTGGAAAATGTAGCAGCAATCACATCTCAGCGGTAATGAAACAATGAGGCGTGTTTTGACGGTAGATGGGTGTTTAAATAGTCATGAAAGCAGCAGCTGGCTCCTTTCTCTCTTTTGTGCAATTAGGAGCTATTTCTCCTACTAAGAACGCTCCAAGGCGATCACACCTGACTCCGCCGCGGTTCCAAAGCCCGTCTGAAAGACACACTTCTCATCCACCACCATTTAAAGGAAGAAACAGTACATTTATTTTTCTGTCTCGGTGTGACATCACCTCAGAGAAAGGTTGCCAGCGTGGGGCAGACACCTCACTTCCTCCCCAGTGTGAAGGGGAGGGCTGTCCCCCTCGGGACCAGAGAGGGTTGTGCCAGGGAGGTACCTGCCCGTATGGCCAGATGCTGTCCGCAAACCAAGGCTCTTGGTGGAAGAGTGAGAGAAAGAGTGCCTTAGGGCAGACAGGTACGCAGTTGCCGATGTAAGAGGCTCTGGGAAGAGAAAAGCTCTGTAAATAATCCCCTTGCAGGCAGTTTGATGCTTTGAACAATAATTACGGCCCATGTGCAGTAACCAGGGGACAGGGCGGATTTCAGACCTCACTTCCAGCAAATGTTCTGGGAGTCTGGGGATGAGGAGGGAAAGACGAGATGGAGGAGGACTCGGAAACACAGCCCAGGCCTCCACCAGCTCTGCAGTACCACATAAAGGGGCCCTTCCGTGGAAGGGAACAGCCCTCGCTGTTGATTAGAGCCAGTGTCACTCTTCCTCGGACTTGAGACCGTTCCCCAGTTGACTTCAGAGTTGATTGTGTTCACTGGCCACCTCTTGTGTGTCCAGCATGGGGCTGGGTCTTCGGGGGCATTGAGAAGACTCCCCATCATAATCCCAAGCATCTGTAGAATGCTGTGTGGTTTACGCTGTGTTTTCACATAAATGTTGTGGATTTTTGCCTTCCTGAGGGGTCAGAAAGAATGCGGGAGTAATTTTTCTGGGAAGAGGTGTAAAATGATGATGATGATAACAATAACTCAAAGGTATGGATCATTTACCAGACTTATTCTCTGAATTCTCATACTTAATTTTCCTAACTGCTTTATAAGGGAGGTACGACTCTCATCCCCAATTTGCAGATGATGAAACAGCCTCACGGAGGTTGGGTGGGTGGCCCAGGTCGTACCACTAGGACATGGCCTCCAACCCAGCTGAGGCAGAGCCCGAGGTCTTCTGAGTCCCTATAATGTGGTTCCAGTTTGACACTTAGTCCTGTTCCTCCCCCAGGGAGAGATACTCAACAGGCATTAAGAGCCTACTGTGTGCCAAGAATAGCTCTAGACCTTGGGGATGCATTTGTGCATTCAATAAGTATTTCCTGAGCACTCACTATGTGACACCGTTTGGTGCCCGGAGTTCCTCCACGAGTAAAGCTCTCTGCGCTCCCGGAGCTTACATTCTACTGAGGCAGACAGACAACGCACACACTGTGTTTAAGGAAATAATGTTGTGTGTGCAAAAGTGATTAGATCTTTGGAAAAAAGAAAGCTTGGGGCACAGTGAAAGGAACCAGCAGTGCTGGAGTGGGGACAAGGGGACAGAATACACTTGTAAGTCAGGTGGACAGGGGAGGTCTCCTTGAGAAGGTGACACTCAAGGACAAACACTGAAGGAAATGAGGAAAGTCACAGTGCCTTCACGTAGGAAATAGCATTCACGACAGAGGGAAGAGGAAATGTGGGCTGGTTCAAAGACCAGTAGGAAGGCAGTGTGGTCAGAACAGTGACCTTGGTGGGGAGCGATGGTGTCGCATGTGGGATCCAGGTCATGGCGGGCCTGGCATGCCATCGTACAGACTTTGACTTGTGTCCTGAGTCAAATGCAGAGCCCTGCCAGGTGCCAAGCAGAGGAGCAGCACATTCTAACCTCTGCTGTAAGGACGGCCCTGGCTGCTGTTTTGAGAATGAACCCTGAGGGGGGAGGCAGGGAGGCCCGCCAGGAGGCCACGGAGGAGGTCCAGACAACCGGTGATGCTCACTGGGCCTGCGAGGTGAGAAGCGGTCAGACTCTGAAAGTTTGCCAAACATTAGACCAACGGAAACCTGCTGAAAAGAGAGCTGTTTGTGCAAAAGAGGAACATTACAGAGGAACTTGTGAATGCTGATTTAAAAAACTGAGACACGGTGCCAGCTAGGAATGAATTATACTTCTAATGACCCAACAGAAAGCAGGGCAATTGTAAGACTAGGAAGCATAATAAAGTATTTTATTACTTATATCATTAAGTGCAGTGTGTTCTTGCAAATACATGAGGCTGGCTAGCAAAGCCACTTCCCTCACGACTGTGCCCTCATGACGGTGCTGCACACAGCCTGCAGAAAGAATAACAGTCTTTTAGGAACCAGTGCGTCTTTGTCTTCCAAGTTGAACTAGAATTACTTTAATCCACTGGGGAATGCAAAGAAAACGAGGAAAGGAAGCACAAGAATGCATGTATTACGTAACCATTCCTGATCCCTGTGACTGTGGACACCTTGCAATTTTGAGAATTCGAAGGCGCTTGGTTTTCTTCTTTCCTGGTAGACTCCATGCAGGGTGTCCAACCCACCACTCCTGGGCCACACACAGCCCAGGATGGCTGTCAATGCAGCCCAACACAAAATTGTAAATTTACTCAAAACCTTTTCTTTGCTCATCAGTTTTTATTAGTGTTTGTGTATTTAATGTATTTAGAAGAAGATATTCTTCTTCCAGTGTGGCCCAGAAATGCCAAAAGGTTGGACACCCCGACCAGGAAGCTGAGTTGGAGTAAAACGGTGGCCTGTCAGGCTGGGTTCACAGAGCTAGTCCATGAGAGGACGTTGAGTACCTGGTGAGGAAGGCAGTCATCCTTGGCATGCTGTGTTCATCCTCTCCGAGGGTCACAAAGGAAGTGGTTTGCTGTTAAGACGGACTGGATGGTCATCTGATCCTTTATAACAGGTGAGTGTGGGACCGGGAGGGGGATGAGCATCTTTGATGTTTACTGATCAACTCCTGTGTGCCAGCAGTCTGCAGTCTGATTCACCTTTGCACCCCGTTTACAGGCTTTGAATTCAGCCCGACAAACATCATTCATTATCAAGGTGCACCCAGTTGAGGGACAAGCTTGCTTTCTGCTCAGCCACACACTTCATGGTCTGTATTGAGGGAACGTTATTCTCAATGGAGCTTGCTCTCAAACATGTTCTTGGACAATGGTTCAGTGCTGAGTGTGACGAGCTAGCCAGGGAGATCCGTACACACCTGCTAGCCGGTGGTAGACCGATATTGAACTTCGGGTCAGGAGAACAAAGGGCAAGCTATCCTTCAGAAAACTGCTATGCATAAATGTCTCAGTTTATTTTCTTTAAAGCATGTTTAAACCCTCACAGCATTCTTACTCATTGGGATCTCGGTTTCTGGAAGTTCTAGTCACTAAAAGACAAGAAAATGAAATCAGTGAATAATACTATTATAATTTGTGAGGATCAATTAGAAATAACAAGAGTTCACTAAGAAGCTACTGCTAAAAATCACATTCTACATCTTTGAGGAAAAGCCCAGAGAAGGTCACCCATGGCTGGGCAGGGCCTCAGGCATCAGCTTGCTCACTGGAGGGAAAAGGGACGTTAATTCCTACATGGAATTTTGTCTACACTCCAGGGCAAGAGCAGAAGAAAGGGAAAAGCTTGTGAACTTTGTGTCTAAGAATAAACATGGCCAGCCCAAAACTAAAGATGCCTTATTTCTAACCAGCTCAAAAGGAAATCAGACACTCCAGACCAAGGACCACAGCTGTTAAGAACCTTGCATACAATTAAATTTCTCACATTTTTGACACTCTGGTGATTCTTCCTATCCCTCCCCCTCTTACTAAACACACACACACACACACACACACACACACACACACACACACACAGATTCATGGCAAAACTTTAATAGGAAAAGAGCCTCTGAGTGTGTTTTCAGGAGCAATGATGATAAGATCCATTCTGTCCTACAGCCAAGCTGGATAAACCCCAAGGGGTACAGAAGATGGTAGCTGTGACTGAGGTTGTCAGTGGGCTGGAAACAGAATGTCACAGGTTCAAAGTGCACCTGAAACTGAGCTTGGAGGTACAGACAGGCACATGGGGAAGGTTGGGGAGGCAGGGGTGGTAGCCTCAGCTCACGGGTCACATCAGAGAATGTCAGAACAACTTTTCTTTTGGTTTTAAAATGTGTCCCCCATAGCTTCCAGGACCTGGATCTTTGTAAGTGCATCTGAATCTAAGAAGATTGCTTTGTGGTAGGCACACAGGTCCCTCTGTTGCCATGGAAACAGCACTATGCTCATGTGTCAGGAGCCCTCCTTTACACACATACATATTGTATATTTACATATATTTACATATTCTTAGGGAAATGCCTTTCATGCCTTCCCCTTCTGCTATTCTTTATACTTGTAAGAAAGACATTCGGAGCCCAAATTTTACTAATTCCTACCATCTAATTGTTATTTATCATCTTCTTGTTGACTAAAAATTCTGATTTTAGATTTTTCTTCAACATAGTCTTTCCTGGAAGTAAAATATCCTATTATTTGCCCCTTCATCTATCCCAGCTTTTTTTCACTCCTTAAAGGAACATCTGTACATCCCAATATGCTTAGTGTATTAATTAAGGAAGAAACCTATTTCAGATGGTACCGAATTTCTTTGACAGATATAATGATTCATTTGCATGTATTTCATTTCCTCAAATACTCTCTATCCATAATATTGTTTTTAACTGGCAAAAGAGCAATTCTTTGGAAGAACATTGATGAATCACAAGTTTGTGTGAGTAGAAGACTATAGTTGTCTGCATAAACTTGAAACTAAAACAAATCTAAGGCAGAAAATTAATTTATTTCAAAAGGGATTTGGGGCCCGTACAACTGACTGTATATGACCCAGTTTCCTTGAGAGCTGATTCTGACCGTGTGTCGGAGTTCACGACCAACCATGAGGCAGGTGGACGCATGTGCTACATGAGAGTCAGGAAACCGGCCTCAGATCTCATCACCCGCTGTGGGCTTCCACCTCAACTGAATCAGGCTGTAGAATCATAACCTGTAAAATGAGCAACTTGAACTAGACCATCACCCAGCTCCAAGACGTACTTCAGCTTCATACCCAGGCCCAGTGGAGATACGCAGTTGATTCAGTAGGCTTAGTAAGGCCTGTGGTCCAGGCGGTGACTCAGTCATGCACTGGGTGAGGTCTGACACCCCATCGTTTTTCCCACCTCTTGCTGTACCCATCCCTACCCAATTCCTTGGTCCATAGTCTGGGATGGAGCTCCTACCCAAGTATCCCTTCCCACCATACCTTCTTTTGTCTTTGTCAAGTCAGACCATCCTTTGTCATTCACACAAGCTATCTGGTGGCTATATTTGTTACAGTCAAGGCGAAAGCCTTTAACTGTAAGGTTACTTACTTTCTGGAGATACCAGACCCTGGTAAAATCTCTTGTATTTCCCACCTCGTTCCCTCTCACATGCTCTGCTTTAGCCTGAGAACAATTCCTGGAACTCTCCACATTCTCTCATCTGCTCCCAGGGCTTGGACCACACCAGTGCCGCTGCCACAGCCCAGAAGAGCCCCTCCTCCACTCAGCCCTCTACTAACTCCCCCCACACCCTTCAGTTGGCTTCGAGTCCCTTCTCCAACTGAACTCTTGCTCTGCTCTTTCTGTTTTTAGAGTTTACCACCAAGTACAACAAAACCATACTTACTTAACTTCCATCTCCTCCAGTAGGTAATACAATCCATGGTGACACTGGGCCACTGTATCCCCAGTGCCTGGGCCACACCAGGGCTTAGTTTATAACTGTTGAGTAAATGCACGGATGAACAAATGAATGAGAGTGCCATCTTAGCCCAAAGACCAAAGTGGTGGGAGTTTCAGACCCTGGCACTTGCTGATGGGAGAGACCTTTCTGAGCAGGTAAAACACGTATCTCACTTCTATCCACAGTGCTCACCTGGTTCTTGAAGGACAGACACTGGCAGGAGACAACATCATTATTCCCAAATGCACCAGCTTGGCCTACAACTAAATGTCAACAGTAAGGCTTTGACTCACTATGAAGCCTTTCTTTACATACATCCAAAGCATTTCACTTTACATTTGTGCAAACACGTCGGTGACCACAGCCCCGAACATCGGAAGCATGATGGGCCCTGGCTGGTGTGGCTCACTTGGTTGGAGTGTCATCCAGTAGTGAAGGGTTGCACGTTCAATAGCTGGTCAGGGCACATACCAAGGTTGTGGGTTTGGTCCTGAGGCTGGGCACACATGATCCCCAGTCCAGGAATGAATGGGAGGCAACCAACTGATGCTTCTCTCTTGCATCGATGTTTCTCTCTCTTCCTCTCTCTCTCTGAAAGCAATGAAAAAAAATGGGCAAGGATTAAAAAGAAAAGAAGATGAAAGCCTGGTGGCAGGGATGTTAGGCTGAGACAGAAAGTTGAATATTGATTCCATCTCACAGTGAAACTTTGGCAAAATGAGAACAAGAATCCAATATCTGCTAGTCAAGTCACTTTGCCTGTCTGGGCCTCAGTTTTTCTACAGATTTACTTCTTTTTCCCACTTCATTCCTCATTGGACACTGGAATTTTCCTCTTAAATGCAACTCTTCAAGGATCCATAATGGCAATGGAGTAGATAGAAGCTGTACTCACCTCCTCCCAAGACCAAAGTGGAATTACAACTAAAATATAAAGCAATCCCCCTGAATAACCAACTGAAGACTAGATGAAGAAAAGTCTTATAATTGAGGATTTTCTTTTTTTTTAAAGATTTTTATTTATTTATCTTCAGAGAGGAAGGGAAGGAGAGAGGAGGAGAAACATCAATGTATGGTTGCCTTTCGTGCGTCCCCTGCTGGGAACTGGCCTGCAACCCAGGCATGTGCCCTGACTGGGAATTGAACCACGATTGTCTGGTTCGCAGGCCTGCGCTCAATCCACTGAGCTACACCAGCCAGGTTATAATTGAGGATTTTCAAAAGAAGCTACTCGGGGACTGGTAGGGCAGTGACATGAAAAGGACTTAATTGATATCTTCAAAACATTTCACCCAATAGCAGTAGAATATACATTCTTTCCAAGTGCACATGGAACAGTTTTTAGGGTAGACCACATGTTAGGGCACAAAACAATTTTTAATAAGTTTAAAAAGACGAAAATCATATCAAGCATTTTTTCTGACCATAATGGTACAAAACTAAAGATCAATCACAAGGAAGAAACTAAAGAAACACACAAAGACATGGAGGCTGAATAACATATTACTAAACAATGAATGGATTAACAATGAGATCAGGAAGAAAGCAAAATATACCCTGAAACAAATGAAAATGAGAAAAAAAAACCCTAAATCTATGGGACATAGCAAAAGCAATCCTAAGAGGGAAATTCATAGCATTACAAGCCTATCTCAAAAAAAAAACAAGAAAAAAATCTCAAATAAACATTCTATCTTTACACTTAAACTAGAAAAAGAACAACAAACCAAAAGCGAGTAAAGGAAAAAAATAATAAGGATCAGAGCAGAAATAAACAAAATAGAATCTAAAAATCTAAAAGCACAATATAAAAAAAATCAATGAAATGAAGAGCTGTTTCTTTGAAAAGATAAAGAGGATTGACAAACCTTTAACCAGCTTCATCAAGAAAAAAAGAGAAAAGACCTAAATAAATAAAATCAGAAATGAAAGAGAAGAAGTAACAACTGACAGCAAAGAAATAAAAAGGATTGCAAGAAAATATTACAAACAACTACATGTGAACAAGTTGCACAATCTTGGTGACATGGATACACTCCTAGAAACATATAATCTTCCAAAACTGAATCAGAAAGAATCAGAAAATCTGAATAGACAGATTATAGCTACTGAAATTGAAGCAGTCATCAAAAAACTCCCCACA